ATACAGCAAACATAGTTTTCATGCTGAAGTAAAGAATATGAAAGCGCGTTTACATACTGAATGATTCGAAGTGCATCTAAGCATTGGGTTCACGCATCGACCACGTTCCTCCACTACTACTCTACTTCTAAGGGTAAATAGTAATGTAGGTTAAAACAACATATTTATATATAAATGTAAGCACTTTCAAGCATAATAGTGATACCTATTATCACTGGAAATTCATCCTTTGCTATGGTCAGTATCAACACAAACCTCCATAGTCCACACTCCACACTCCAACACTCCACACTCCTAACCAAGAGCCCGAAAACACTCCACACACACACCTATTAATAAACATAGCCTCAAATAGAACAGCTATGGTTAGTACGAAAAAATTTTGTGTGTAATTTTTAGAAGGCAATGATTTTTGTTTTAGGGTTTTTGTTTACACTCTATGTATGTGACTTGGCGCCTTTCTGAAGCCTTAAAACCACACAGGCGAACCTATTGGGTTTAGTTCTATTTCTTTCTTTGCCAATTTATCTAATAATTTAGAAACGCTTTTCAAAAATAGAATACCCATAATGGACCGTGTAATATTATAGTACGTAGAACGGGTGTAAAATAAAAATAAAAATGGAAACTATTTAAAAATGAGCAAGTTTCAAATACGAATCATAGCCTACTGAATTCAACACGCAGGCGTTGTACGAATACTTAAATAAATTGGCAACTTGTGAATTTGCATACCCAGTGTCAATAGTCACACAACCAGAGAAGCACAGGATGCACACATTAGTTAAATGAAAGAAACACAGTAAATGATGTGTTTAAACCAGTAACCACTAACCACTCTGGTTCAATTGGTCAACCTCACAGGCTCACACAAAGACTCAAAAGACTCACAAGTCACAACTCGCAACCTGAACGGATCACATTGGCGACTAGAGAGAGAGGAGAGACTTCGCTTGGGACGGTCTCAAGTTAGAATTATCTACCTGCGTTCCCCAATTAACACAGACCTATACTATCCAGGTCACAAGGACACCCCTCACGTTGGGATTTAAAGTAGTTGTCACCTCAGAGGCTAGTGGTTGCCGATCACATTCACTATTTGTCCTGTGCCCAGGTACCTGTGTAATCGTAAAGCAAGAGCAGGTTCAGTCACGGAGTGTGTGGTATCTTCTCGATAGTGTTATAAAATCCATTGCTCTTCGGGTGGGTGTATATGCCACTGCATACCAGACGTTCATAGATTATTGCATGCGCTGAATCAGCTGTTACGTGACTACGATGATACCATATGCCACCGCATACTATGTTGCAGGGGTTGCTACGATGGTCGTAGCAACAGCCCTACGACAAAAGTTGACGCAAAATAACAAGCGGGAACCTCCTGGTATTAGAGGTAAGCGAACGAGTGCCCACGGAATCCACAAACCACGAGGCCGAGATAGACTGGCAGAGAAAAGGCTGCAGCGTGCTTTAAGGTATGTGTGTTTGTGTAGGTCTGTGCATGGTTCGATTTAGATTCGTTAAACGGAGTTATATGATAGGCATTCCTCATTCCGTGTACTTTTACGATGCCAGACTCATATATATGCTTGCCTATATATTGCTCAATATATAATCACCTGTAGCAAGTATGTATATTTCAAGCGTATTTAGGTTTTAGTATGTTAGCTCTAAAGAGCCTGCATACGATTATAACATACGTAGTCGTCAATCATACAAATATTTAAACGAGATATGCATCAATGCTAAACCTAAAATATACTTTTGTACACGTGTACATTGAATATATTTAGGTTTATATGTATATATTTACACACAGACACACACACACACACACACACACACACATATATATATATATATATATATATATATATATATATATATATATATATACATATATATATATATATATATATATATATATATGTGTATGTATGTATGTATGTATATTTATATATCTATATGGCTGTATATATA